GACCAAATATCTGCTGGTTAGTTAACTCACAGGAACATCACAAGCTGGAGGATGGATTGATAAATATGTTTATTTAAACTAGAAAATAACTAATACAAGAACTAATAAAAACTAAACTAAAACTAAGCATTAAAAATGCAAAAATAACTTATCAAACTATAAAAAACTATCAAATCCACTGTAAAAACGAATTAAAACTGAATTAATAGAAAAAGGTCACAACTAAATAAAACTAAACTATAATGGAAAATCTCAAACTGTTATAAACTTGCAACATACGTGTTGTCTCGCCACGGCTCGGGCAGGCGCTGAGTTTTCTGTCGTCTGCAGGTGCAGCGTGTCGAGCAGCGGGTGTCCCAGAAGAAGACTCTGGAGGTCCGGCTGGAGCAGGAACTGAACCAGGCTCAGCTGGCAGCCGGCAGGGGAAACAAACGGCTGAGGGATTCGAGTCAGACCGCGGTGAGACTTGACCTTTGACCTTTAACCTTCCACTCAGGTCTAGGCCTGAATGATTTTGAAAATAATCTAATTGCATTTTTTTTTCTAAAAATTGCAATTTAATATGAAATTATTGTTTTTATGTCTTCAAGTTTTTTTTTCAACAAACAAGCAATAAATCTGTTTTTATAATAAAGTAAGATTTGGTTTAAAGCACAGATTACAATAAAGCAAAGAAATCTGTGGTTTTACGTTTTTAGCATTTCTAATTTTTCTTGTTTCATGTAAAATGATATTAAACACGGTGAAAAGGAGGAGAAAAGTGATGTTGCCAAAAGCTTCTAAAAGTCTCTAAAAACACCAGGAAAAAATGCCATATTTGACGCTAGTCGCTTTTTTTGGGGGGGGGGAGAAACGCTGCTAGATCTAGCAACAATATCGCTAAGTTAGCAACACTGCTCCACTTGACTCACTCCAAGTCACGTGACCAGTCAAATCAGCCTGTGTGGTTAGAAAATCTTGTTTTAACATATCACGAGATTATTGCAAATGCACAGGGTTCCTACAGATCCTTAAAAAGTTTTAAAAGGTATCAATCCAAAAATAAGGCCTTAATTAGCCTTAAAATGTCTTAAATCCATATTTCACAGGTCTTAAAAATGTTAGGTTGTAAGAAGAATTATTGAATTTGTCTCAAATATTAAAAGAATTATTAACATTTATTTAGTTTTTAAAAATAATTTACCAAATTTACTGCAACTTGTTGTTTTTGTGCTAAAATAAACATTTTGGTAAAATTGTTGCTGTTATTTTACATTTGTGTTTATTGTGAAGTTGGTCTTAAATTTCATTTCAAGTGGCCTTAAGAAGTCTTTAAAAGCCTTAAGAAGTCTTAAAAAGACTTAAAAAGTCTGTCTTAAAGTCTTAAAAAGTCCTAAAAATCTTAAAAAGTCTAAAAAAGCCTTAAAGTCGTAAAAAGCCTTAAAAAGTCTTATAATTAAGCTGTAGGAACCCTGACATGCAGTTAGCCGTTCAGCCCTCCTCAGGCCTCACCTTCACACCTGTGACGTGTTTCTGTCCTGTGCTCCGCCCTCTCAGCCCGGGAAGCTGCAGAGTGTGGTCGCGGCGCCTCGTGGCTCGGAGCGCCACTTCTCCGAGCTGATCGCTGAGAAACGGCGGCTGCAGCAGCTGGAGTCCGAGTACGCCCTGAAGATCCAGAAACTGAAGGAGGCCCAGGCCCGGTGCAACAAGGGCGTCCCTGCAGAACCCCCTGCCGAGCCCGCAGTACCGACCCCCAACCCGCCGCCGGACCCTAAGACCCCGCAGCTGCCCTCGGCCACGCCCTTCCACCTGCCCCAGCCCTCCCTGCACGACCTGTCCCAGGACAAGCTGGTTCTGGACAGCGAGGACGTCCCTGAAGCAGACGATCCGGAACCAGAACCTTCGGCCGCTGCTGCAGCTCGAGGCGGCCGCCGTAACTCCCTCCGCCTGTCCAGCAGCTCCTTCACCAAACCCCACCTGGACACGCCCAGCTCCGCCCCCTCTAAAGACGACACCAAAGCAGCCAAGGCTGCGGGTGGCGAGGCGCTTCCTGTGGAGGTGTTTGCAGGGCTGGACGTGGAGGCTCTGAAGAGGAGGTACCAGCTGCAGGCCCGGCTGGGACAGCTGCTGCACACAGAGCTGCTCACACTGGGGGAGGACATGAAGACCCCGCCCACTACGCAGGTGATGACCTCTGACCTGGGCTCAGCCTGGTCCACAACAGCTGTTTGTCTCTCTAAGTTTGGTCTGATGAATCCAGGTGGTCCCGCTGGAGGTGGAGTCAACGAGCCAGCCGGTGGTCTCCGAGCTGAAACCGGTCCCCTTTGAGGTGTACCACAGTCCTCTGAGGGTCTTCAAGTCCTACAGGTAGGAGCACACCTGAGTGAGGTCGTCTGAACAGCCTGAACATTTGGTCCGAACCGTGTTCCGGTTCTGCTGCAGGTTCAGTCCGTACTACAGAACCAAGGAGAGGATGTCCCTCAGCTCCGTGACCTTCAGCAACGCCATCGAGCCCAACAAGTGCTTCTGCCGCTTCGACCTGACGGGAACCTGCAACGACGACGGCTGCAGGTGGTGAGTGTGGACCCCCTGGGTTCTGACCCGAGCCCGGCCCGTCCCGGTCTGTAACGACCCATCTGTCTGCAGGCAGCACATGAGGAACTGCACTCTGAGCGGGAACCAGCTCTTCCAGGACATCCTGTCCTACAACCTGCTTCTGATTGGCTGCTCCGAGGCCAGGTCGGACCAGGAGGTGGGCACCGCCACAGGTGGGTGTGTGTGTGTGTGTGTGTGTGTGTGTGTGTGTGTGTGTGTGTGTGTGTGTGTGTGTGTGT